AATTAACTCCAACTCCACCATGTTGTCAAGAAGGAATGAAGAACCAGAACTATTGACATCATTCACCATCCAAGATGGAAACCTCTTTCCTATGTAACCATCAATAGTGAGGCTTTTCAAAGTTGAATGAGGCTGAAGGCTTTCTAGAACCTCTTCATCATTGTTGTTGTTGTTGACTGCTCTTTCATGCCGACTACTCCAGCATAATTTCAATTGATGCAATTTTGTCTTTTCTTTCAGGTTTGCTTTAGAGGCTTCTGATTTGGATCTTACATATTCAAGCTTCGAAATCTCTAGTTTTCCTCCAAGTTGGGTTATGCATCCAAGGTCTTCAATCTGGCATCCCTTTTTTGTGCCGGCAACAATGGGTGATAGTAGTGTTCGAAGGGAAGTTAACTGCATAATGGATATATCCCATGGATGATTAGAATAGATATGCCTCAAGCTGATGAGATTTGCCATGCCATTGGAAAGCTTGGGAAGCTGTTCAAAATAATAGTTGTGGACAAATTTTGAAGTCTGCAAATTATAGAGCTTAGAGAAGGATTTTGGTACTGCTGTGACATTAGTTTCTGAGATGTCAAGGTACCTCAAATGCTTCAATTTTCCAAGAGAAGCTGGCAACTTCTTTTCCTTATCTCTCATTAATTTTAAAGATCTCAGGCTTTTAAGATCTGATGCCATGCTACAGAAGACACCAACCTTCGAAAACAAAGAATGCAACCTTTGAGCAATACCTTTTGGAATGGTTGGAAGATCCTTTCCATCAGACTTGACTCTTAAATGTCGAATAGTATTAAAATTCTGGTCATCCATGTTGCAACTGGCATCCAAAATCAAGGTTTCACCTTTTGAAACAAGCAATGCAAGATCATGCACTAGATCATGCATTTTACAAGATTCAATATTTCCATAAAAATCCAATTCAATATCTTGGAATAAAGCATTAGATAACAACTCATTGAAGTACTCATCACCAATATCCTCCATTTCCACGAGGCCTCCGTTAGATCTGTGAACAAACCCTTGAGCCGTCCAGAGTTGAATTAAATCATCTTTGAAAATGACAGCATCCTTGGGAAAAATTGAACAATAAGAGAAGCACTTTTTTAAGGATGAAGGCAAACGATCAAAACTCATTTTCAGTACAGATAAAATCTTCTTATTTTCATCTTGCAACATCCATGCTTCATCATCAAGAATCTCTTGCCACTTATCTGTCTTCATTTCACGACTCAATGTTCCTCCAATTACACTTGCAACTAATGGCAACCCCCCACATTTTTTGGCAATTTCTTGTCCAATACCTTCTAAATCCAAAGGTATTGAAGTTTCCGTTGATGACCTGAGAACTACGTCCTCAATTATCAACCAACATTCATGATCCGATAGCTTTACCGTATCATGTTTTTGCATTGGAAGTGCCTCCATTATGGATGCTACCTTAACACTACGAGTAGTCACAAGAATGGAGTTTCCACCGGTTTTTAAAATTTTTAACAAACGAGATATGAAACTATCCCACTTGTCTCTATCATCATTCCACACATCATCAAGAACTAGAAGAAATTTTCTATTTTCTAACTCCTGCCCAAGCTTCTGAATAAGTGCATCTATATTATTCATACGACCAACAGAACTATCAAGGTATTCTAACATATCTCCTAATATTATTTTCTCATCAAATTCCTCAGACACACAAACCCAAGCCACCAGGTCATACAACTTTTGTTCTTTTACCATACTGCATATTGACTTCGCTAATGTTGTCTTGCCTATGCCCCCAAAGCCCACTATTGAAATGCCAGAGAGGACATGTTGACTCCTTATGTTATCTAACATGTTGACAATTTTTAAGACATCATTATGCCTTCCAACAACTTTTGAACAGTCGAGGATGGAATCTGTCTTAGGATATTGCCTAACACTGGCAGTAGAATGACTCTGGTCATTAAATCTGATCAGCAAAACCAAAACCCCATTGTCTTTGATTCTAACCAGAGACTCATTAATCTTCCTAATTTCATTAGCCATGTTAAGACGAATGGCAGTGCGATTGGAGAGACAAAAAAAGGTGCGCACCTGTTTCTTCTTTGGGCCTTGAGTCTGAACTTTGTGCTTAAGAACCTCATAACCGTACTCGTCCAGTACATCCACTGCATCATAAGCTACATCTCTGAGGTGCTGTAACCAATTCCTTATGGCTGGATTGCTTTCTTGCCTCCATTCAGCATCTTGAAGCAATCCTTGGATCATAGTTAGTGTTTGAGCAAGCTCCCTCAGCTCCCTCTCCAGACCCCACGCCGTGCTGATTTGTGTAGAAGCAAATGAAATTGCTTTGGAAACTGCATTCTCTATGATTGGGGTGACGAAGTTGAGGACGAGTTCAGCCATTATGCTTACTTGCTTAGAGACTCAGAAAAGCATGGCTAGCACAATTAAACTCTGCAAAAGAAAAGGGGAATAGTGTTGAGAGAGCAGATATTATTGTAACAGTAACTTGACTAAAAATAGCTTGAAATGTAGATGAAGAATCTGCAAAAAAACGTAACCACTTACCAGTTCTGATCCTAAAATGCTTAGCCACAGAAAGATAGCAAACGGAAGAGAATCCTGAGAGACAAACAGAGATGGTGTTTGTGAGAAAACTGAGCACAGATGAGGAGGAAATGAAATGCAGCCCTGTTTTTAAAAAGCTGAGACACCACTGTAGCTATACGCGCATATGAATTTCTGCTTAGGCAATGCAATTATGTTTCTGTCATATTTTATTTCCTATTTGCTTTTCTTATTTTATTCTTTCTTATCAATTAGTGCTTGTCCTTTCCTGCTTTGCTTTTTCTTAGTTTATTGTTTCTTATCTAGGAGTGCTCCTTTTTTCCTGCTTTTTGCTCATATGTGAATAATTGACCAAAGCCGACTGTCCCATTTCTTTGAGAGTTCCGGTTTACCTTTTCTGTTCTTTACAAATTAAAGTGAGTTTCTTACCCCATTTTCCGTCACCTCTTTTTCTCTTTTTCTAATGTAAATAAATAGAATTTTCCATGATGTCTCCTTTTGCTGGAGGTAAGTTTCTGGCAATGGAATTTCCTGTTCCTTTGTTTTTCCTCCTATTACTTTATGAAAGGAAAATTAATGGAATGTTTCCACAATTCTTCGTATTTTGTTGATAAATTATAAGTATCATTTTCAAAAGAGATTAGTGTTTAAATTTTGTCTTACTACTTAAAAAATTATGATGAATATTACATTAAAGCGCGCTATGTTATTTTAAATAAAGGATCAAAAGAAAACTAAGACGAAAAAAAAATCTAATTAATGTTTTAAAAAAATATTTTTAGTCTATTTTTAATGAAAATTTATTGAAATGAGATAATATTTTTCACATTTCCCTTTCCCTTTTCTAAGTATAAAGATTAACATTTGTTGCTTAGTTGGCAAAGCTAAAAATATTAAAAAAAAAAAGCTTGCTGCTTTTAGTTATAAAATTTGTTATTCTATCTATCATCAATTGATCTAACTTGTTGCTCATTTTATTTAAATACTCATAAAATTTTTACATTATGCCTAATAATTAAAGAAAATTAGTAAAATACTTAGAAATATTCATAAAAATATATATAATTCATGGCTCAAAAGAGCATGTAGAAGTAATACCTTGTCTCTAACATAATTTTCTTACAAGAAAATAACTTTTTTACTAATCTTTAATGAGTTTAATATGTAAATATTTTACAATTCAAATTATAAAGTACCAACCACTGGATGGAATGACCTTCACTTATTATGTTGGACCCTTCATCATCTACACACTACTAAAATCCGGATTACAAGATACCTTTTTGATCTTTAATTCTATGAGAGAAATTAACCTCAATTATGTTTTGCACATTTTACCATAAGAAATTGACTAAAAGGCAATAGGATATTTCTGTAATATATCTCATCCAATTCTTCTCCTTAGCTTTTCTTTAAGCACCTTTCAAGGAAAATTAACAACATACATGTTTGATTTCTATGATATTTTTTTTGTTAGAGCGACTAATACTTCTCCTTTCCTCTGTAAAATGTTCAGTTGTAGAGATAATATCTTAATTTTCATTCTCAGTTATTTCCCTATTAATATATCTAGTCGTTTAGTTATAAGTTTGTCAACAATATTACAAATGTAATATTACAAATGCTAAATAAATAAAAATAAAAAGAAATGTTGCCTCGTTCAACAGTTGATTTTGATTTATTACAGCCACAAAAACACAAAACCTATAGATTGATTGATCAGCAAAACCGAAGCGGGGATGGTTTATTTGGTAAGGGGCTTTACAACTCATTCTTATTGACCAACTCCTATGCATTTTTAGTACTCGTCTTAAATGTTACCTTATTTGACTGGTTCGTGTTCTATCTATAAGCGGTAACTAAATATGCAAACAAATTATTAGGAATAGCTGAAGCAATTAAACACGCATGGGAGACAGTCTTTATGTGGAGAACCTCTTCCAATTGAAGAGTAAAAACCATGGGACCTCCGGTCCATAAAAATAGCTCCACTATATCTAGACAGTTTTTTACAATATACTCCTCAAACAGCTACAACAACAGCACAAAGTAAGAGAAAACAAGTAACTACAACACAAGAAGCAAATGTAGGAAATGAGTATGCAACAGGTAAAGGTTCAGACAATGAAACGTAGACGCCTTATGAGCCTTAAGGAATTTCCGTTATAGCTTTCGAAGACAACGAACAGAGGCACCGAAAAAACAAGGGTTCAGTTTATTCTTCACAAATGAATCAAAGCAAATTAAATGGAATGCGATCAACACAGTTAAATCACTACGTATTATTTAGGTGTATTTTTTCTTGTTTGGTTGTGAGTCCCACATTGCCACACCAAAAAAAAGTCTTATTATTATCTTTCATCACCTGCACCTTCTTCATCTCCAACCGTTTGATGTATATTAGACAGTGAAGCATATAATCATGTTCACATCTGCTTCAAGACACAAAATAAAAAATGAGACAAAGGTACAGCCACATGCCTTCCCAGATATGTTTTACTGGTATGAGATGTTGGAATTTTTAAGGATTGATATAAGTAAAATTTAAGATATCAAGATCTAATAAAATAAATACATTTAAAAATTTTCAAAGATCTTCAAGAATTATTATAATTAGGGATCTCATAACAAAACTTACAAAACAAATATAATTAGTGTTGGGATTTAGATCTTCTTCTCCCTAATCAACTTCTGTATAGTAACAACCAATGAGGTCATGTCACTCCCAAACTCTACTATTTATAGAAGTAGGGTTTTTTGAGTAGAAGAGGGGACTTAACCCATTATAATAATTTTTTGGGCACTCTCATCAAGTAGCCCACCTTTACTTTCAAACCCTACACCTATTCATATCACATAATATAAAACTGAGATAAAATTTAGACCCACTTGGGTCACATTACTTTATTGGGCTTTACCGATTTTTCCATTTGACCTAATTTTTGAAAACCAAATACACTTAGCGGTAGCTCACATAAAAATTTTCAACATTCTCCCACTTAAGCAACACTAATTGGTTTTAAAATTTTAAAAATATATTTAAAAAAAAAAAATGACTCTTGGGTCAAATATAACTTTAGTGGCCACAAATATCAATCAGAATCTCAGTACAAAATTTCGTTCAATGAAATATCAATACCGAACTGTGCAGTAATTATGTCTCTAATAACACAAAACCCCTCACAATCACAAGTATCAAATATCTTCACCATCATTAATTCCAATAGGTGTGATAAAGTGTAATGTGGTTTGCTGTTCAAAAAAAAAGTGTAATGTGGTTTGACACAACGTGATTCATATAATATATAACATGTCAAAACCACAACGGTCCTCTTTATGATTTCAAAGAAACCTTTTTATCAGGATATAATCATTTTACACTTCCTCAAAAAAGCCTTTAAACTTTATTATGATTTCATAGAAACCCAAAAGATAATCTCTTTCACTTTTTTTTTTAAAAAAAAAATTTTACACTTCAAAAGAAGTCTATATATACTTCCAAAAAAGCATTTATATTTTATACCTCAAGATCTCAAGATTAATTTCTGTATGAACTCATAAAAATCATTAGTACAATGCACATGCATTATTATAAAATAATAAGTGGTTTTGTTGGGGAGATACTGTCACACCTTTACTGTTGGAGCTTTTGGCTAATTTGCTTAAGGTTATTATTATTTTAATGTATTAGTTACTCATATATGCCTTCACCTTGCTTTGCGTGATTTTCAATGTTAAATATTTATCTTCCAACTGGCATGCAATAAATAATGCAGACTGAATTATAAGGGTCAAGTTATGTTTAAAAAGTAACAAATTCCTAAATGTTGTGTGTTTTCTGACTGTGAAATTTGGTTGTCTCCTACCATGGTTTGCTGCTTGCATGAAATTCATTTCATCTATGATTGCATGTCCTACCATCCCTGAGATTTATGGATGGTGAAATGTGTTTGAGTCTAAAAATTTTTAGAGGAGAATCTCTGAAATCATGTTCAATGGAATCAGACACTAATTCCTATGAAGGATTGCAGCCAATTCTGAACTGCTTGATTTGTTGCTGCTTTCAACCATTTTCACCAATGTTAATGTTGTCCCTGAGCAAGAAAAGAGCTAGCTTGAGCATCTGAAATGGATTTTAGAAGGTAATATTTCAGCATATCAATTTTAGTAAAATAAAAGTATTGGCATATTTAAATTTTTTATTAAATATTTGTCAATAAACAAGTGGATTCCTCCATACTTGAGTGTTGATTGATAGTTGAATGATGATCCAACATAGATGCCAAAGATTTGGAATTCTAATTAATTTGTGAAATTTTATTCTTTAATTGAAATATGAAGGAGGAATTCAATAATCTTGGTTATGGGAAAGGAATATCATACAGTGTATTTTCCTTTAGTAGAGGAAATTGGTGGAAGGAATTTTTTAGGCCAAAACACTGCTTTTTTGAGTGAAAGATGAGGACTGGAAAAATAACTACCATTGCCAGAAAAACCAGCAACCCACTGCATTGCCGGTGTCATTTTATTTCCCGTACATAGAAAAGCCTCTTTTGTGGTGTTGTGTGGATGTCGTTTACTTATCATCACAGAGAATTGGTTTTTGGTTTGAGAAAGCCTTTCCTGTAATGTTTGATCATTAATTGTTTATTCTTCAACGCTGAATACCACTGTTTTTCATAAAAAGCTGTATGGCTAGAATTATAAAGATCACTGGCAGGCAAAGTATATGCTTGGCCTTCTTATGCTACTGTTTGGCTTTTTATTCAGTGCTGCAATTATGGGTAGCCCTCAAAGTGCTGTGCATTTCAAAATCATTTTGGGATAAAAAACCTTTGTAGCTATTGTGAAATTTTTTTATTATTTTTTGATTGGTTTCCATCTTATATATGCCATGCTGGGATTTGCACTTTGTATATTACAATTCTTCTAGCATTTTAACATGATAATTCAACCATATATGATACTTGATTTATTTTTAAAGTTTTAATCAATTTTAGTTTTGTTGTTCCAATTTCTTATTAACCAAAAGAATGTATCCTATCTATGCGGTGGTAACATTGTCCAGTACTTCACTAGAGTGCCAAGCACATCACCAGTAATCAAAATAAGTTGCCCAATTGAATCACCAATACCCCGCGAAGCGGGGTGAGGGACACTTGTATTATAAGTAAAGACAAGTGAACTAATGAGATGTTTCTTCGAAGATGTCATAAATGAAGGTAATAAATATCATACAACTGCCATCACATACAAAGCCGAAATTTTTCAATCATTTCTTGATCTCTTTTTCTCTAGTTGAGAATTAATGAAACATATATTAGAGCATTATCTGTTTAAAGACACTTCATGAGCCCAAGTGGATTTCTAGCATAACTTTCCAAAAAAACAGAGGCACTGAAAAACGAAGGGTTTAGTTTATTCTTCTCAAATGAATCAAAGCAAATTAAGTGGAATGCAATCAACACAATTTAATTTGTGCTTCATAATCACTACCTTTTCTT